TCATCATCATCATCATCATCATCATCATCATCATCATCATCATCATCATCATCATCGTCATCATCACCATCATCATCATCATCATCATCATCATCCGGTGCCTTGCCGACTGGCGTGGATGATCATGAACCTCCACTTCACTCTCATGTTGTCATCTTGTGCCTCTGCCTCTCCTTCCATCAAACTTGCCTGTTGTTACAATATTCTCCAAGGCCTCTCTCACTGCCGTACAAAAAGCCACAACAACCACGGCTCACACAGTCCATTTAACACAACCGAAGACAACTGAAAAATGCCAAGGTTGACTGGTGCTGAATGCAATTATGCACTCGGACGATTGAAAGTAGGGGAGACTCAGCGAGCCGTGGCAAGGCTCTTTGGCGTGTCAAGACAGACCATTGATGTGTTATGGACTCGATACAACAGCACTCAAAGGGATAATGACAGGCCTAAGCTAGGTCAGGTAGACCCAGGGTCACTACTGCGGCCTAGGAACGTTATACCCGTATGCGTCACCTTCGAGATAGAACCTCAACAGCAACGTCTACAGCTGCTCAAATCCTTGGACAAGGAAGCATTTCTGACCTGATAGTTTGCAATCCTCTCAGGGAGGCAGGACTCTTTGCTGGAAGACCAGCCCGACGTAACGTGTTGACCGCACACCACGTGACAGAACGTCTCCAGTGGTGCCAGCACAGAGTGACAGGTGACAGGTATAGCGAGGAGATCCTGCAGACTCATGTAGTTCCATACCTGCAGGACATTCGGTTTGTTCATCAGGACTAACGCTTTTAACGTGTGTATAGTTATTATGTGCCTGAATTTTGCCTTATTTTGTTCATTTTATTATGTTCGCTTCATTTAAAAATTCATTTTTAAAAGTGAGTGTCAGGTTGTTGTTTTTTTAAGACTATATTTTCGTCCGTGTGCCGGGATGTTACTGGGTTCCCCCCCCCCCCCAAGCAGGCAGGATCGAAGTAGCCTGTGTAAAAAATGATCTACATGTGTCGGAATGGGTGTAAAATATGTATTATTCAGTTACATTCTAGTTATTTAACTTTGTTTACTCCTGTGACTCCAAGTCCTTTTTCTAATTGCAAATCTAATCTGTTTTGAAGATGCGGTATAGTATATTATATAGTGATACTATCTAATCTGTCTACTATTATTAAACACACAAGAACAGGTAGAACAAACCTATTTGATTTACTTTATTCTTATGCACAAAATGAAAGCATCTCAAGTCATATGTCAAATCATGCGATCAAAAGGATTTTGAAACAAGGAATGATTGTTTTTTAATGTAAATTCCGACAGTTGTCACGTGACCAGCAGAATCAGATGGGACAAAGGCAACTGGATGAATGGGTATTATACTATAAACATTGTGTCTATGTACATTCTGGAAAATAGTGTTTTTGAAATAGTCTGTGCCCTTAAGATGCACGCACTGGAGATGCAAGTTCGACAAAAAAAGTTTCCTAATCGTAAGTTAAAATACCGTTTAAGTTTTATTCAAAATAATATTAGGGCTAAATCAACATATTTCACAGATGAAATTATAGTCACAAAACTAGGCATTTGAATAATCCATAAAACGAAAGCTGACTGTTTAAAGCTAAGTCAATTTAACAATGAACTAATATAGTGCTCAAGATGAACGCTTAGCTTGGGTAAACAGGGTCTTCAACAACAGCAATGAACCGGAGGTCTCTCACTTCTAGGCTAAAAAGGAAAACATGATTGAGATCAGATTTTTTTCTTTATCAGCAAGTTCTATTCCAGTGTAAAAGCAGTAATTGTAATACATTTGAAATATTTCTTAGAAGACATACCTCGTTTGCTTTTAAGTCTTGCATTCTATGCGTTGCTTTTGGGGAAACAATAAATCACTGACCTGAGACAAAACCCATAAAGCAAAACTGGAACTGCTGGTACTGAATTGCGAGTATCATAAACAGTAGAATAAATCATTGTCGTAGTGACAGACAGGTCAAACTGGCTTCCAGTGACAAGTTTTTACATTCTTAAGAAGATAAGAAATGGTAATGGTAAGTGGTGGCTTAAAGATAGGCCTAGGTAGCTCATAGTTCAATTGTGTCAGATGTAGGCAATTTTAGATTTGGCTTGAAAACAAAGTAAAAGTTAAGGTTTTGCAAACGCTTCTTGGCTAAGAAATTACCAATGAGACGAGAAGGGTTTTTGATTTGAGGACACGATAAGCTGGTTCTGGGCAAAGAAGGGTGGGGAAGGGCGGATCTGGTTTGCATTTTGAAACTGGACATCTGGAAGAGTCTTCCTCAAGCAACGGGGGGACAGATTCTCTTAAAACTAGGCCAGCTTATAGGACAAAGGTAATCTGATTCGCATGCACAAATCGTGCATCCATTTGAATCTTGTGCGAATCCACCATTAGGACAGACTAATCCACACTCCACAGTGGGACAGAATGGCTTTATGCCTGGTAAACACTCGCATGTATTACATCCATTTTTGTCCTTGACATTTCCATGAGGACATAAGAAGTCGCACTCATGAGGACATGGGTCAGGTTTACACGTGCATGTATTACATCCATTTTTGTCCTTGACATTTCCATGAGGACATAAATAGTCACACTCATGAGGGCATGGGTCAGGTTCACAGGAGCACCGTAGACATCCAAAACGATCTGATATTAAGTTTACAGGTCCATGTGAGCACCAGCAGTCGTCTGCAGATTGAGGACAGCGAATGTCTGGGTAGGGTATAACTGAAAGACAAATACAATTAGCGCATGGGTTAAGTCTACATGAAGACCCTAGACATCCACAGTGATATGTGTCATGACGTGGTGAGATCAGGCACTCGTCACCTTTTGGGGCTTGTAGAGTTATTGGTATCATCGTAAAGCTTGTTCATTTGTCTTGCTTTGGGTGAAAAAACTATTCATTCATCTTGAATACAAGTTGAGATATTTGCGAATGAAGGAGGTGGGGTCACCTGGTTCCAGAGTTGAGAAAATGTCCGCTAAAGATTAGATATCCTTAATTTGATAATTTGTGAAAACCGACATTTTACATAATTTAAATCTTTAATCAACGCTTTTCAGTAAAATCCACACAGAAATGTCTTCTTCAATAGTCATGAAAGGTTTTGAGCCAAAAATTAGGTAAATAATCACAAATCTGCAGAAAAATGCCAGTTTCTTCACTTTGTTTATTTGGACGAGAGCCTGATTTCACCACGCTGCCTCACATATGTTATCATGCTCACTGAACCATGCGGCACACGCAGTCGTGTGTTTCTAGGACAGTGAAAGTTTGGGTATGGTACAACAGCAGGAGAAAAATCAATGTTTGTGTTACCTGCATATTATGGTTATTTTGTTTGGGTTTAATTTTGATTATTTGTTTGTAGTGTCTCTGTGGCCTACCACACAAATTATATAATTTCGAAGGCAGAACACTTAATCCTGAGGAAAGGTATCTGCCGTTGACAGAAGACCAACTTCTTTTTAAATGTAATTGTCACACCTTCACATCTGAGTATAACTGTTCATGTGTGGTAATCGACCAATAGAGTAATACAACTTTCTCCTAGTTCTTGGTTTTTCCATATTTATATTAAGTATACAGTTGGACCTGCTCTGACGGAAAGATGTACAAGACAACCACATGTATAAACGCCCACTTTCGATTTACACCCTTGAGTATCTCTCTATATAAAAGTGGACTTGGGAGGCTTTGTGCACAAACTCCAACCTTATTACCGAACCCACACGTTTGAAACTTTGCAGGGGTCCACAGCATTCATGTGGCTAGGACCTAACTTTAAAAAATCCACGCAAACTGGTTTCTACGATTTTTCCAAAATACTTTGTTTCGTCCACACAGATTCTAGCATTTCAATGCAGTTGAATGCAATGTTCAAGGCATATTTCAAGGCTTCTGTTCACATGCTGTGCGCACTTAAACAACAATGACTTGACGATTAAGTTCGTTCGTCGAACGGGGTACCCAGCTAGTCTTATTATAATGAACCTAAGTCCGCTTGTGAGGTCGGTATACATTTTTACCCTGGAGCCCGTAAAATCTACAAAAATATGATTCAGTTCAGAATTGTCACAAAGGGTTACGTCGGCATATTTTAAACGTTCGAAAACTACCTTTTGATTTTGCATGTTTTATGGTTTTACCTGTTAATCGAAGCTCTCGGATGTTTTCACTCTGCCCTTAGCCATTTCATATTTTACTGGGGACTACTTCCGTTTTGGTTTGTGCTTCGTTGCGTGTGTGAGACAGCTGCTTCTACTATTTCCAGAACTACAACTCGATATCAAACTCAGTCTGGATGTGTGCTTCACAGTGTCGATGGATACTTCAGGCCAAACTAAACTGTTTTGACTTTTTCTAGATACGTTTGGCATAGTCATGTCCCCAGCACGTTGAGTTCGTTTAGACCAGCAAAATGTTTACTTCGTTGTATTGACGTTTTCAAAATTTTAGTGCGTATTTGGTGTAGTTTTTTTTAGAGCAAGACTCTAGATATTTTATCTAGATCACTATTCTAGAGGTATAATTTGAAGTACAAAATTCAAGGCTTATTTGGAGTAGTTTACAAGAACGAAAGTGCCGTTTGTGCTTTTAGACTGAAGAGTCATGAGTTTGAACCTTGCCATGGGGCCGAAATTGTGTCCTTGGTAGAGGTATGTTGTATGAATTCTCCTCACTTCATCGAAGTGGGAATGGGTACCCGGCGGTAGGCGGAAAGATGTCTTGTAATCATGATGTCATATTGACACTGTTCAGGAGATCCAATTGTCTAAAACAAAACTATATTTAACCAGTACAAACATTGCTTTCCATGGACAATTTCGATTGTAGATCCGAAATCAAAATGAAATAAGCCGTATTTATTGGCATCATGCCAATAGAAAGTTGAAATTTCACATTCAGGTGGTAAGTGTTGATGTTTGCTCTCTCCTACGTTCATTGTAAGAGTATGGGTTATCACCTCTACCAACACAATTTAGGTTATTTAAGATTCGGGACCTCCAAATGTCATGTCCAGCTCCGAAATTACAGAGCAAATTTTTGCTAGGAGCATTGTAAACTCGACAAAACTGCCTGGGTTCAAGAACATCAAGTGAGGGATTAACAGTCCAGCATGATACCAACGGAGCTGACAGACCGCCTACTCGCTTCTAGGTGTCTAGAGGTTACGCTGTTCGCCTCTCATTCAATAGGTCCCGGGCTCGAAACGTGACAGCGACGGAAATTTCCTGGTCTAATATTCTCTCCTTTCACATCATTTCCTGCTCTCTAGCCATGTTCTGTCGTCTACATTCGTCTCCACTTTCTGCCCCTACCCCTCTCACCCCCTTTGCCCCCTCCTCTGGGCCCTTACTCTTCTCTTTCTGCAGTCTTTCTACTGCTTCTCTTTGTCTCCTTACTGCTGTCTTTTAGCCGCACTCCTAATATTGCGTTAGGTAAAATCAAACACCTACCTTCTTGGGTAAGGAAAAAAAATCTTGGAGGTCTCTTGAGCAAATTGCGCACGTTAAAGATCCCTTGGTGGTCCTAAAACTGATAAGAATAATCTTTTGCTGCCAACAGGGCAAAATTCAGAATTTATTCCAACAGAACTGAAAAGGTTTATTAATGTGTCCCGCACTTCATATAACCATATAATGCAGTTCTAAGCGTCGTAAAACACTTAAATTAATCTTCCACTCTCTTCTAGACATAAACGAGAGGGCTAAGAGGACAAAAATATAATAAGATCAAGTTGAATAAAAAATTTAAAAAAAAGAAAGCCAGTCGTCAAAATCAAGACAAAGTACTGCATGCAAAACTGTCGGAAAGAAGCGACATTTTCATACCAGTTGCTATGTCGTATTGTCACGGTTTTGATCAACCATGAAGAATGCCTAATGTTTTACGTGTGGGCACGGGTAGAATTCCAAAGTAATTCTTTGTTCTCGTTTGTAACATTGTATGGAGACATGTTGCATTGACAAGTCGTCCACTTTAAAAATAGTATATCTATAACCACATTTTTTCTTAAATGAAAGAGTTTTTTTGGCCCCATTAACCATTTATGGGGCTCCAGTAAGAAGTGAGTTTAGACTCAAGTAAAATGTCAAGCAGGTGTCGGTGACATGGGGATCAGATGGGTGATCACTGGGGTGTGTCCTTGAGTAAGACACGACAACCCTAGCTCAAAATACAGGGCGCTGCACAGTGGCGACCGACTGTGGCATACTTGTAAACTGTTCTGTTTTTTGTGTAATATGTGTATTTAAGTATGTATTTATACATGTATTTATGTATTTTACGTATTTATAATTATGTATTTATGTATGTAAATGTATATCTGCCTTTGTAAACCAAAGTCACCTTCCGGGACAAAAAAAGTGTAATTTATCATTATTGTTATTATTAGTTTTATTATTATTATTATTATTATTATTAGTAGTAGTAGTAGTAGTAGTAGTAGTAGTAGTAGTAGTAGTAGTAGTAGTAGTAGTAGTAGTAGTAGTAGTAGTAGTAGTAGTAGTAGTAGTAGTAGTAATAGTATTTGTAGTAGTAGTAGTAGTAGTAGTAGTAGTAGTAGTAATAGTAGTAGTAGTAGTAGTTGTAGTAGTAGTAGTAGTAGTAATAGTAGTAGTAGTAGTAGGATGATGATGATGATGATGATGATGATAGTGATTATTATCATTAATATTATTATTATTATCATTATTATTATTATTATTATTATTATTATTATTATTATTATTATTATTTTTATGAGGCGAAGTTTGATTGTGCTTGCCAGTGCCAGCCCCAACTGAGATGGATATAAAGGGAAAGAACGTGATGCTCGATGAAGATTCTCCAGACACGTGAATCAAACTCGGGCCTCCTGCGTGCAACAGCGAGGCGCCTACCCGCTACACCACAAACACCAGTAGAGCCTATTTGATGCCGTGCAGGAGATTGGCATTGTGTAGGAGTAATGACCTTTCAACTGCAGTGTTATATTATAAGAAGCGCGACCTCAGAGTTGAAAATCCATCTTCGATAGAAAGTAGCCAAGAAGATGGGGAGACTTGAAAACTTCCCACACTCTCCTTCTTCTACCCCGTGGTTGGGGCAATCTTGGAGGCACCACTGCATCTGACAACCATCTCTCGCTATTTATCTTTGTCCTCTGCTTTCCTCAGATTGTCACCAATCGCTTTTCCTGTCTATTCTGTAATGTTGTCCTCCCATCTCCTTCTCTGCCTTCCTGTCTTTCTCTTTCCTTATACGGTTCCTTGTAGGGTTGTTTTGGCAAGTCCTGTGGATCTTGTGACATGCCCATACCATTTTAATTTTCGTCTCTTCACTGTGGGCACTAGATATTAATGCTGCCTCACTGCGTTGGTGATTCTGTTCCATACCTCAGCATTTGAAACGTGGTCTTTGTACGAGATGTCAAGGAGTCTGCGGTAACATCCTACACTCCCAAAACAAACAAAAAATCTACTTTGACTTTGAACCCTTGTTGCCGTTCATTCGTCAATGATAATACAGATTCGTTTTACTCGTAGGTATACTCACAAGCAGACACGGCTTGCAGACAGAAGACAGTTGCAAAAACGCCAACAACTGCAGTGTTGACGGCCATGATAGCTGATCGAGTGGGCTGGTCGTCTATCACCTGGTAATGGCTCAATGAGACGTGTGCGAGTTGTTCTGCTTGTCCAGGATCTCGGACCCAGTCGCTGACGATGGGAGGTATAGGCGGCTTTTATAGCCACAAGACCGCTGATTAGAAAATCAACATCCTTGTTCTTGTTTGCTTGGGCATTAATTCGTTAGTTCACTTTCTTTCGTCGAAAACCCCCATCATGTGCCCTGACGAGAGAGCTAACCGAACATTTCCTCTCCCACCAACCCATTTTTTAAGCCACCACTCGGCATTCATATGAGCACCTCTCTCTCTCTCTCTCTCTCTCTCTCTCTCTCTCTCTCTCTCTCTCTCTCTCTCTCTCCTACCCTTCCCCAGCCTGCCCCCACAGGAGAAGGTGAAACGTTTCTCAGAAATAAAACAAAACATAAAGAAGAAATCACGCGCTGGTTGGAATGTCAATGGATTTCAATATAGATCTATGCAATATTCTGTCCTCCATTTTCATTTACCAAGCTCATTTATATGAATGTATAGTTTATAAAAAGAAAAGAAGAAGAAACCCCATTATAATAAAATTGTTCTCATCTACGCGCTGTTTTTGTATTTTAGACTACATTATGGAGTAAGACTGGCCCTCCGCCTTCATTGTCAATATTGAAATACTCCTGGCGGTGCTTCGTGACCTGTTTTTTTGAGAGCGTTCTTCTTAGGTTTTCATAGATTTGTTTTTGTAGCGTATTTCTGAACACAAGTAGATCCGGAAAGCGGACCGACAGCTCAGTTTGATGTATTACAAAGGCAGGGTGGCGTCGGTGGCACAGTGGTTAGGCTACCGGACTCGTAATTGTGAGATTGCTGGTTCGGGGGTTCGAGCCTCAGCTCGGTCTGACGTTGTGTCCGTGGGAAAAGCACTTTACACGAACTTCCCACTTGGCTCGGTCCTATCGGAGACGGACGTTCAACTAGGAGGTCCCGCCTCTTAAATAGCCTAATAATATTGATAGGGGTGCTAAACCCATACCATTTCATCATTTTTCACAAAGGCAGGGGCAGGCCAAGCAAAGCTTGACTGGATGGCTTTGATTAAAGCGGTCATCCAAAAGAATAACATATTATCAACTACAGAAGCCACCAGCCTTGCTCTTGATAAAAAATTACACCTCCACTCGACATCAAACGATACAACAGGAAGGATGAAGTAAAGTACAAAAATCCGAAGCTGAATACACTGGTTAAAAACATGTTAGATCCCTTCTAGATTAGGCTGCTTAACCCTATTCGTATGTCGTGTTTTTCTATCCTATTCATACGACGTGGGGAACTCTGTGCCACCACGTAACCCTATCCGTACGTCGTATTTTACTATGGTATCCATACGACGTGGGGAAATCGGTGCTACCATTTTCCAAAGAGGAAATTTACTCGTTAATCCGATCCGTGCGCTTTGCATAGCAGTCTGTCAAAATGATTTTTTAGGGAAATGCTGACCGTTTCAAAGAGATCTTCGTATTAGAAGTATTCTAAAATGTGAAGAATACAACCCCGGGGTACATAATGACCCCCCCTCCACCCACAGCGTATGGATAGGGTTAAGTCTTCCTGTCAGAGTCATTGAGTTCTCAGTGAGACAACAGCCAAGCAGATATACACAGACACGCGATACTACTACTACTACTACTACTACTACTACTACTACTACTACTACTACTACTACTACTACTACTACTACTACTACTAATAATAATAATTATAATAAATAGCCTTTTTGTATAGCGCATATCTCCACTCGAAAGCAAGCTCTATGCGCTTTCACACTATATTATTACCCCAGCAGATCATAGAACACTCAGAAATATTATCAGCTTCCCGGGAAGCATACAGTGCAAGCAGCTGGTTAAGCGCTCAAACACTCACAACTGATAACTTGCTTGTTTACTTGTGTGAAGGACCGACATCACTGCACAAGGGGCATCCCCATAAGCGCTCAGTCCCCCGAAGAAGCACATCTCGAAGTGTGTAGATGCTGACGGTTCCAAGGAATGGTTGATTCCATAGCCTTAAATCTGCTCCTCCCACTAAGTCTCGAACTTCTGCAGGCGCCCCATCCAATTCCAAGCTCAAAACTGATGAACAGACATCTCCACATTGGAGCCAACGAATGTCATGTCATTACCCTAGAATGACAAAGTTCCCTTTCTCACATGATTATTTGTGAAGTATGCTGACAAAATGAGCTACTTCTCGCAATCCACAAAGGGAGATATTTGCCCACCAAAATATCAACACTATGTTCAACTTTGTAGATTTTCTATTGATGCCATATTGTTTAAGTGCGATATTATGCCTGTTATAATTTCATACTTATGTATTTCAAAATCTTATAAGCATGAAGTATATATTTCCATTACAGAGCTCGAATCCGAGAAGTAACTCGTTTTCTCAGCACGTATCACTTTTGGCTGTTTTGAGTTACTAAGACCATAACGTCAGAAACCATATGTTTTATCTGCTCTGTAAAATTTTAACGGAGTTGTCATCAAGATATTCAAAGGATATCATTCGAAAAAGCTTGACATGTTGTGAAACTGGAACATTTTGAGGTAAAATTTATCAAAACTAGGTACTGAGCAGATCTGATAGAACTTTGTAATTCCATGGTAGCGATGTGTCTTGCGTATTATTACATTGAAAGGCGTGTTCGTTGCACAATCTTGTTGTCCTGGCGTACTTAATATCGCTTTTGTATCTTCTTTTTCAAAAGTAAATTTAAATTGCTTCTTCTTCTTTTTCTTTTTCTTTTCCTTCTCCTTCTACTTCTTCTTCTTCTTTTTCTTCTTCTTCTTCTTCTTCTTCTTCTTCTTCTTCTTCTTCTTCTTCTTCTTCTCCTTTTATCCCATGGTTGGGGCAATCGTGGGGGCACCACTGCATCTGAAAACCAGCTCTCGTCATCTATTTTTGTCCTCTGCTTTCCTCAGATGGTCACCCATCGTCTTCCCTGTCCACTCTGTGATGTTGTCCTCCCATCTCCCTCTCTGCCTTCCTCTCTTTCTCTTTCCTTGTACGGTTCCTTGTAGGATTGTTTTGGCAAGTCCTGTGGATCTTGTGACATGCCCATACCAATTTAATGTTCATCTCTTCACTGTGGTCAGTAGATCTTCATGCTGCTCCTCTGCTTTTTTAATTCTGTTCCTTACCCCAGCATTTGAAATGTGGTCTTTTATGAGATTTCAAGGAGTCTGCGGTAACGTCTCACCTCTGTTGTCTGAATCCTTTTCTCCTATTCTGCTGTCAGAGTCCACGACTCACAGGCGTATAAAAATATTGAGATCACCATTACTACATATTACAATAATATCTAAATATTTATCGATAATTCATCCCCTTGACTATAATATGCAAGGTGTGAGGTACTCAATGGTTGAAATATTGATGCCTGGTGGAGAAAACCTGAACCTTCCATTTTGAACTTATTGACTTATGACGCACATCCGGGCTCTCAACTCTCAGTGGGGCAATACATCGGCTGACAGTGACGTCATGCTGGAAATATGCTTTTACTGTAGATCTACAAAGAACGCGAAATAATATTATTCTTTAGCCTGATGGTTTTCCCCTTTTCGAAATATTGTTCTATGAGTCCATGCGAGGCCATACAGGCAGTCCTTGTTTTAATTAAGCAAAGTGAGGCTTACTTCTGACGAACATAATATTGACAGGAAACGGAAAGTAAAAGCAATTAGCTGCCAATCAATCTGCGTAACATTATGTATATTATTGGTGAAAGCTTCTCGACAATTTGTGTCTGTCTATAATAGACAGCTTAAGATGTTGTCCGTTTGTTAGTTTTTTAGCGCTTTTAATCGTCTACTGGCACTGTAAGCTTCCCCGGAAGCAAAGAATGCTATTGTGTGTTCCAGGGTTTGATGGGGCTAATGATAATTACAGATTGTAAAGCGTATAGAGCCGGCTGTTGAGATATGCACCAGGCAAATATTGTTCATTTATGATTGTTTATGTCGTAGAAAACAGACCAATTGATGTGGGGAAAAAAGAAAGGCACATACAGGGCTTTTAAAATGTTTTGCACTTCTTTGACATTAGACGAGATGTGGGTATGTATGCATGTGTTTCTATTTGTGTATGTGTGTGTATGTGAGTGTGTGTGTGTGTGTGTGTGTGTGTGTATGTGTGTGAGTGCGTTTGTGTGAGTGTATGTGTGTGTGTATCTGTGTGTATGTGTGTGTTGGGAGGGGATTATGTGTGGGAGTGTATAATTTGCATTATTATGTGCGTATGTGCATGTGGGACTGTGTGATTTGTGAGTGTGTGTGTGTGATTTGTGAGTGTGTGTGTGTGTGTGTGTGT